CTTCAACCTCTGTTGGAAGACAACCCCCCTGAAAATTAGTTGTTGCTGAGCCCAGAACTCAACCCAAATGAACAGAAATGAAGAACGGACAGCAGTTTATTGCTTGCATGTACTGTACTTATTACTAAAGGTTCCCGGGCAAACCTTCCATAATATATCATATTGGTACTTGCATGTACTTACTAAAGGTTCTGGGGCAAACCTATGTACCATATTGGTTCTTACATGTACGCACAGGCAATGTGATCTGGTTTCTTTCAAAAGCCTTGAGAAAACATCAGAACATGTATACTTTGGGCTACTCCCCTACGTTGAAACACTTGATGATAGTGACATAAGACATAGTGTGAAGTTTGAAGGTTGATGGGAGGTCCGGCCAGTACTCAAGTAGCAATCATTGTTCTTTGACTAGTGACTAGTGACTATTGCTAAGTTGGGGGAGTAAAACTACAGTAGGTTCTCACAACGGAGACCAGCTCACTTCTGCCAAGATGCCGAACTGCGGCACTGCCTGTACTGGCGCCGCCTTGGGAGGCACCGCAGCTGGGATTGGCCTGTGCGGCATTTGAGTGTGTTCATCCGGGGTTGGGGAGTACCACTCAGCTCCACTCTGAGGACTCCTGGTGTGAGCATGACTGCTGGCATCATATCCATGCCATATATCCATGCCTGTGTGATCCTGAGTCCACCTTTTCCAGGAACTGATAACAGATCGTGGCAGCTATGATCTGCCATGGAGATTCCCGATAATTTTATCACCAGGGGCCTTATTTGGAGTTCAATACCACATACAATTGGCCGGGGGGCCAGGGATGGAGAGATAGGTGAGGCTTCGTCGATGCACAACTGCGTTTGGAACTGCTGAACTGCTTGAATAAGGTGTACAGATGTATTTTGGAGTGGGCTTCATTATAATACAGTTTCTCTGGTCATGTGGCAATGCAAATGTTGGTCCACTGAATCCTAAGGTCCTACTGTTAGAACCACTTGCCCAATCAAGTTCGCCTGCTTTCTCGTAAATGAGGTGGGCCAACCGAGGAGAGCGGAACCTGGGGCCGGGCGGAAGCAGTATGCTGGAACCAATTGGCTTGGAAGCTACAGGTCCTGAGAAACCAACGGAAGGGATACACTCACACACATCATGTTTAATGTTTGTTCCAGCAGATTTGGGGGGGTGCAAGGGAAGGAGTCACCCACAGTGAAAAGGGTCATGCAAGTGTTGTAGTTCTTCACTTTCATTGAAATGCTCGCTTTGGAGAAATCGCCTTTCGGGGGGGCCTGTTGAGAACGATACATATTGGCCTCAAGTGGTGTGGTGTAATATTGGCGAATATATAACGGTTGCTGTTGACCGTCAGCACGACCAGCAAACCAGTCAGTGGAATCCTTAAGATTTGCTGCAATAAGGACTGTCACTGGATCTCTTCGAAGCTGACTCATTGTCTCGTTTGAAAAAACTGACATATCCCGACCACATACCAGCTGCTTCCAAGGGGTCAAAAATGGATCGTACACTACATATAGTACTTATAGCTCTCCAGTGGGCACCCATTGGAAGCGCTGGGAATACTATGAATATAGATTTATATCATGACCGCCACCACGAACCACGCGAAACACAACCTCCCTGAACCATCTATGCACCCTCTGATCATCCAAAAAAAGGCAAACAACCCCTGCGCGCCTCCCCTATACGCCTCCCAGGCTTCAGAATATTGCAAGCTCTGCAGCCAGATTCCTTATGATTCCTTTGTGCAAACCAAAGCCAATTTGAGTCTTCAACCGCTTCAGACTTCAGAGCTCAACGTTTGTAACAACAACTCCCCACCCCACAGTTCTGCATTGTTTTTTTGTTGGACACGTTCTTGAGCATGATTAACTTAAACAGCAGGTCAACACCATTCTATCTAGCGGTGAAATTAGCGTTGTCTTGTTTTTCTTGTATGGATCGGCGACCCCAACTTGCAACTGCTGGGGAATGAGAATGCCTGAATCATCCAGAATCCAATCTTTTGGGCGGTGTTGCATCCCAAAGTCTCTCCATTTCTTGTCATGTTGTTCCCCTCCACTTGCCCGACCGTCAGATCCCAAGCCATTCCGTTGCTCCGTCTTCCGTCGCTGCTCCGGTGCCGGGACCGAGCCGCCAAGGGCTCGCCGGGCCGCAGCGGCTCGCGTGGTGGCGGGACGCTGTGATAGAGCTCGTCGAAGTCGCCGGGGTCCTCCTCAACACTATAGGTAAAGCACTTCAGAATATTGCAAGCCCTCCTGACACCGGCTCACAATATTCTGAAGGAGCACTTGATAAACCTCTTCTACGGCAAAATGTCTGACAATGTACAAAAGTCAATAGTCGCCGTTTCAGCAATCTGTGTGTGCATGTGTCTTCCGAAATCTCCTCCAGGCAGCTCGAGGAGCCAATGACTCATCAAGCAAATACCTCCCACTTTATCTACCTTTAATTTATGACAAGAACACAAACTACCTTGGGTAATGTACCAGTATATAATCATGGATGACGATTAAGGCTTAAGGCCTTTCTCATTAATCACCATCCTTTACCACCTGCTTGTTTTTCTGGGACACCTGCCTCAGCTGTACCTGCCTCACCCCAGCCACGTACCCATGCTCCATCCCCAGCCAGTCCAAGTGACAAAGGCCGGCGGAACCGCCACCGGTGCCTTGCCGCTCTTCCGCAGTGTGCTCACTGCGCCCTGAGCCGCCACTCCCTGTCAAGACCGGTGGCACGACCGGTGTTCCGAACGAGCTGATCGGGCTCATTAGCAGGTTCAACAAAAAGGTGGGAGAGGTTGTGGTTGTTGTTGTTCTTGCTCTTGTTGTTGCTGTTGTTGCTGCTCTTGTAAATATACATCAGGTCCGAGGATTGAATTTGATATAATTTGATTGGTGGCTTGCTTGATCAAATCTCTACAGGAGCGAGGGCGGCGGTGCTACTGAAATGATGTCGCTTCATTGCTTTGTATTTGGCTTCTGTGTAAGCTTAGCTACAACAACTTGTTGGTCTCGTAACTCTACTGCTAATTTCGCACCGCCTTCATAAATTCTAGCCTTGAAACCTGGATGACCACCAGCAATGGTTTTACCAATGTGATCCGGGTTTATCGTTGGTGTCTCATCACCCTGCTGTCTCAAGCCTGCAAGCCACTCAGCGGCACGTCGATGAATTTGGGCTTTACTTCCTTGCGTGACACCGCTGCCAACATGCCCATCATTGCAACCTAACCGAAACCAACACAATGGGAAACATGTTCGGGTGTTTTCGAATTGGAAATGACTAAAATCCCAATTGCAAAACATTATCTGCAATTTTTGGGATGATGTGTAATTGCTATACATTTGAGACCATTTAAGTGCAGACTGGGAGGCTCAAGTGAAGTATAGTTAATGATGACAGTCGCCCCCGACGAGGTGTCACCCAAACAGCTCCAATATTCTTAAGACGGAATTGCTTTTAAGGATCCCGTCCCTTGACACGGTGCTGCTGGATCCACCCGTGTACCGAACAAAGCTAGCAGCTAGACCAACAGGCCATTGGCGTGTGTTGGAAGAAGGACATGCTCATCCGATCTTTAAAGCTCCTTTGGAGTTGCTCTCATGGAAACTGGGGCTCCCGTTGACCATCAAGCAGATCTTGCCTGGATCGTGCTGGGTATAGTTTGCATGTACACCTAGTTCATACACGTGTCAACGCAGCTGTGGTTGATCCAAACTTTCTGCATCCACTCGATTTGACCCAAAACCTGTGAACCTTGCCGCTGCTCATCATCCCAAAACCTAGTGACCTAGTGGTGCCCGCTGTGACCGGGCTGGATTTGTCCAAGGGGCCGTCGCCAGTGGATACTGGGAGCGGACTTTTGGTTTCCTGAAGCAAGTCGGGACACTTCACCAGGCGCCCAGCATAAATGGAGATAAAGGGAGACAACCATAGGGACCGACTACAGCAACACACACCAAAGTGATCACTCCTTTAAGGCACTAAGAACCGCAAGGGCAGACTATGTGGAAAAAGGAATGCTGAGATGACTGGCTATTGTCAGGACAGGTACCCCACTAACTAACCCTGAACATCGGGCATTTACGTCAGTGGTCTTGCTGGTTGACATCGCTGCGACGGGTGTATAGTTAATTATATGTACACTAAGAATGGACATACTTCTTCCCCAAGAAGACAACCTGATGTGCCAAACATGGTACTGTTCCCAAACTGTGAGCAGGAGAGTCAATGCATACAAGCTGTGAATGATTTGTCCTGTATATTATGGTTGGATGGGGGGCCTTGTTGCCTTCTGCATCTGTGCTGACATGTCCCGGGCTCTCTGGCTCGGAGGGCTGTGATGCTTTCTAAGGATGCATGGTTGGATCACGTTGGATCCAAATACCTTGGACCTTGATCTCACCAAGAATGGGGTGGGAATGCAGCCAATCACCTCCGATTACACAGCCCGCAGGCAGGAAAAAAAACACAGGCCTTTTTCGGTCAATCCAAGGCTTGCGTTGTGAAGGGGCCCTCGCTTGGTGTCTGTTTTGCCTGTGAAGCCTTCTGCTAAAAGAGAGCGAATCAAATGCACCCCTGAAAACCTGCCCACTGAAACTATATACATACTGTATGTTATACGGTATACGGTATACGTCTATAATATTGTATTATATGTTGACATGATTTAACATGTAGACTAAGAATCAGGTGTCCCGGGCCGAACCAAGCACCCAAGCGTCTCTGGTGCAATGAGATCTTCCACCTGAGGCACTTCTGCTTGGGGCGCTGGTGCCTGCGGCCGTTGGGCAAATCCACAGGAGCACGGGTGCCATGGTGCCCCATGGACGACTGGAGCCCACGGAACCCACACCAGTGGGTTCCCGATCACTTGGAGCCCATCAGCCCATCCAAGTGCTGAAAAGGCCCTTAGGTTGTGCTAGCTCGCGAGCCTCGACTCCGACGCAAGCGGAAACCAAGCCACTTTTGTGCGCCAAGCAAACGTCTTTCAGTTAAGCATCCTGGATGTGTCACTAGGGATGGAAGCTCTTTTCCTCTTAAGTGTTTTTCTCATCTCAAGTATTTGTAGATGATTTGGATTTCTTTTCAACATCTCCTCGAGATCTTTGTCGCGCCCCGACGCTTTCAACAGCTTGGCCTTCGCAAGGCCATCATCAAGGGAATCAACATCTGGCGGTTCCATGTTTGACCACTCCTGGAACTTCTTATCTAGAGACTCTAGAGTCTCACAAGCCTGCTCTGTGGCCTCCCAACAGACTGCTTGGAAAGAAATGTTTGGCTTGAGCAACGATGCATGCAGCCTTGCATCAATCATAGTCGATTGCTTTTGCAAGAGCCAATCGCCATCCATGTGCCCATATATCCACCATGCTGCAAAGTACAATCTCAAAGCCTTTTCTTCAGGCCACTTTGTGCCCGGGCATGACTTCAACCACTCTAGAACCTTTGGAACGTAATAAGGAGGAACTTCTGCCGTGTTCCACACAGATGCATCCAACCCAGGTGTGCCAAAGAACTGGTGGAACATCATATCTGCCTGACCCTTACCCTTCCCGGCCACCAGGCAATAGAAGAGCCATGATGCGGTACGACTGCACAACTGCGCAACTACAAGGGCAAGCGCAGCTGGCGTCATTTCACCGCCACACTTTTTGAGCATCTCGACCTGCAATTCAAGCCATAACTTTGCGTGATCTTTGTCACTTTGCCAGTATTCTGTAGACTGCCAGGCCTCTGACAACAACGAGAACAAGAAACTACAGTCAAATACATCCAGTGAAGAGCACCACTCCAAAAAACAATGTGTCCTGCTCAATCTTTTCCAGCTGATCGTAAATCACCGGTTGGGTTCTGAAACCCCTGAAGCCCAGTTTCAAGAGAAACGGAATTCGCAAAATCTTGCCTGCCAGTGCTACATGCCAAGAACTTTTGTCTTTCGCAAGCACCGTCAAGGCTCTAGTCGACGTGTCAATCATGAATTGTTGCCATTTTCTGCACTCTTCAGGATCATCGTTGGGATCCTGAAACAAAGGGTCAACGGGCCCTTCCAGAACTTCTGAGAAACGTTTGTATAAAGCTTCTGGTTCCGTCCCGGTCTCCAGCATCTCGACTAGATTGAGCAACGCCCGTCGGTCACATTTCACCACCTTATCGGAGATGCTGCAGTTTTCTTCCAAGTCCTTGACATTCCATTTAATTGCTGCCAGCCGTTCTTTCCGTGCAACTTCTCGCTCTTTGTAGCCTTGCTCTAGTTTTGCCTTCAACACCGCACGCTCTTGGGGCGAACAAAAGGACAATTCAACTGCATTCATCTGGGTTTGATAGATGTCACCCACTCAAATCGGCTCACCGCACGCAAGTATGTAGAGGTCCATTGTGACACCGTCCGGATTATTCAGCATTCCTGGGTCATCACTGCCAACAACTATTTTTTGGGGTGAGTTCCGAAGCAAAAGGATGAAGGTGTTCACAGCGTCCACTTGGCTATCAAGATATCCAAGTGCGATGTTGCAAAGTGGAAGGAATTCCCAAGCTGCATCTTTGTTCCGCACATTTTCTTGATGTTCACGTAGCATCTGATCATCAACCATAGGATGGGCAAAGCGCTTTGCTTGTAGCCAAGTGCTTCCGCTATATCTTTCGTGCTCAGAATCGCCAACGCGGCTCCGCTCGCCTAGATGCAAATTTAGTTCTGAGCCTGCCGTGGGATCCTCCAGTATATGCTCAACGTGCAATCGTTTTCTTTCGTGGCCAACCAAGTCCCAAGCAACAATTACCTTGTCGTCGTACAGCCGCCTAATTAGAGGAGCGGCCCGGGAGATCTCACGAATGCAATCTTGCCTTCCGTTGATGGATTGAATGAGATTGACCTGGATCCCTGCATCAACAGCAGCTTTCTGAATCATGCTTGCAAAGTGTTTGGCACCCCTGTACTGGCCATCTGTAGAAAACAGCAAGCGTCCATCGCGGTCGTGCAGTTTGTCAATCAGGTCTACCCTGGGTTCCAGTGCGAGAACATTGTTCTCCCGCATCTTCCCAAACACATGCGGGAGAAACACCTCCCGCATGAATACTTCATCGCGGAGATACTTCTTCCTGTGACTGAATAGCTTCTCAAATTCATTCCACCTGCCTTCGGGCACAATGGCCATGCTTAGAACGCTCCCTTGTGGACAAAAGTCCTCTTTGCAAATGGGAAGGTGTGGACACTTCTCCATGGCATCCCTGTACAGCTCGGACCACACCCCCATCCCCGTCAAGTGCACATGAGGATCGATCTTGGGCAAAGATTTCAATCATTTGTAAAGTTCTGTCTCCCTAAGAGCTGGCTTGGCCTCCAGGAAATCTTCACCGCTGCCATACCAGAAGCATTTGATGTATGGGAGCCGATAGCGAAACAGTTCTGCTTCCAAAAAAGGAAATGCGTGGCGCCATGATGCTTGAGTGGAAAGGGAGCGGATCCCTCTGTGAGGGTATCCATGGAAGAATCTTGCAACTGATTGCAGCAACGCGAGCTTCATTTCGCCTGGTTCCTGGTCTAACTTGTATAGAAACTAACTAGCTTGAACCTCGGGAAGGCCAAATTGAGTCGAACTCAACCCTCCCCCCCAAAATAACTGGCCGCTCAGTAACTCCGTTCGTGAACTCTCTCCAGCTCCAATCATCATCAATCATCCGGATCCCCGCCTTCGGCTTGGAATCCTCGGCACGCTTTGGCTCTATTTGCTCCCGTGAAAAGCAACGTGCAACACAATCGAAATCCAGGAAAACTTACCTAGGGAAACGGCAAGAGTGCTACTCGTGGGCCAGTTCCGCTTCATGGCTTTTTTGGTAACTTTCACGCGGGTGGTCAGTGGTTCATGGACAAATGTTGTCGCCACCGTAAAGAAGAACATGCTGGCTTGCAAAAATATAGCACAGTGACATGGTGTTCCGCATGGGGCTGGTGTGTCTTGCTTCGCAACCATGGTAGTATAATGCACCCTGAAGATCACAAGGCTGAGCTTGTGGTATGCATGTGTGTGTGGCCTACACGTTGTTGTCTAACCATGCCAAACAATATGTCGCCAAAAAAAACTGTTAATCCTATAGTTTTAACAAATGGGCCAAAACATGGACAGTCTTCAGCATGTATTATGGGTGCAGCATTGTTACATTTTCCCTGCCAAATCTAGTTGCTCCTCCTCAATCTGCTTTTATTACAGTAACTGTTGTTTGTATCATTTGCATGTTTCCTCTCAGTTTCCCTTCATCACCAAAACATTGTTTGCGATCTGGTATGGTCTATATCTATAATCAACGACATCCATGCAAAACTCCTTTACCAAGCAATCGCTCCAAAGATCTTTCAATGAGGTAGTTATGAATAAAAACACACTCGGACTGATTTGTATCTCGTTCAAGTGCGCATGGACTAGTTAGGATCAGTATGACATTGATACCGCTCTGAAAAAAAGGACTCAGTACCAATTTTCCCTTTGGATCCAGGGTTTTTAAGGTTATGTTTCTTCTTACACCTTGTTCATCATCAGTCCCGATTTGAGCTGACCCGCTACAAGCATACGTTGATATTCAACACTCTATTTGGTGTAGAAAACAAACACTTGTTCAACTAGTCCACAAGCACCCTAGAGCGTTCTGGAACTTGCGAATTGTCCCCTGGCCTGATGTGAAATATCGTAGAACTTATTGCTCTATCTTTACCAGCGTTCCTTCTGATTGCACTTTCATGTTCTTTACAAACAATTCGCAGACTGCACTCCCCTCGAACACTTTTCCAGGGTTTTGAACAAATGGGTGTCTATAAAATAGTGAACTAAGATCAAACAAATATATTGTGAGTACAAACTGGAAACCGGGTGCGTCATATGAAGTAGAAGGAAGGGAGGAAGGAAGGAAGGAAGGAAAAAAGGACCCGAGGCTGAAACTTTGAGCAAGAAGGAGCTTTGTGGGCCGCCCAAAGGCAAAACTTTGCAAAGGAGCAATCAATCCTGGGAGTAATTATCCTTATTGTGGGCCACCCCAGAGCAAACTTTAGAGCAAAGGCGCATAAAGTTCATAACGCGCATGCTTTTGTTGTCTACTTTTTCCCACTTATTGTGTTCCTTGGGCGCCTTGGGGGGTCGCTGCGCCCGTGCCCCCAGCCCCCCTCCCGTGCGACATCTGCAACCTTTCATATTTACTGTCTGCCGCTGAATATGACTTTTAAGGTCTATACTCCTAAATGAGTGATCTTTCCGTTCCGTTCTTTTGCCCAAACCTCCACAAACTTTCACATCACTTCCAGCTCGGCTTCGGATGGCTTCTGGACTCTGTTGGCTATTGTGGTGGTTTCTCTTGGCTTTTGTCGGTTACTGTGAATGTGTTTTCACTGGTTTCTTGAAACGGTTTGCGCGTTCTTTTGGGGAAGTGCTGCGCCCTCCCCCAAACCCTGCTCTTTGTTCCGTGTTCTTTCCATTCCATTCCAATTTCCTGTCATTTTCCTTGGAAGCCTCAAGAACAAACAAATCGCAAACTGATTCCAAACCCCTGTACATACCTGTTCCTGGAACCATGTACGTATTCAACTGCTCAACCAGTCATTTTATAGCACAAAGGTTGCTGAAAACAGTTGCATCTGGTTCATTGGCATTATGAAACGATGACTGCCTGTCACCCACCACAGGGTTTATAGAAGGATATAGAAAGTGTTTTGGATAAAATGAGGGTGCCAACATCATAGCATCACCCAAAGCTCTTTGATAGAATGACGTGTCCATGATCAGAAGTGCTTTTCATAAGCCTTTAGGTGAGGGTGAGAATTGCCTTACATGTTGCATGCACTATTATGTTGGGCCTATCAAATAGCATGTTGGCCCTGTTGATCTCAATCCATGTACTAGACTTGTGCCATCTTCCATATGACCAGCACAAGAGTAAAAAGCAACCAATGGAACAAGCAACCGGGAAAAAAGAAAAAAAAACATGCCCACTCACTCGGCCCATCGTGTCAAACACCCCACGACCCCAAATCTCGGAGAACAAGACAACGGAACAAGTGACCCAAAGACAAACATGCTGGTGCAAATGTACTTGGGCACTAAAGCTGTAACCGGATATAGTCTGGGTGAAGTTGTGTGTATTATATATATATGTGTGTGTGTGTGTTTGTTATGTTTTATTTATACAATTAACGAATATGAATAAGGGCCTCCTCAGGCGGAAGCCGCAGTATATATATATATAAAGGATAGCTTGTACGGCTTTCAGTCAATTTGCTCGACAGGCTGTGCCATTTCAATCACCATGTCACTTGCGAAACATCCGTGCTCCCATGCCCCGAGTCCCTAGTGCCGAAAATTTTGCCTGAAGTGCAAAACATAATCAAAAACACATGTTTTCCATGAGGAAATAAGATAAGGACCCGTTCCATACTCTTGCGATCTAGGGTCGCTCTTCTGCTTGGCGATGCCCACGCGGTGGCGAAGGTTTCCCGAAGCCAGCAAACCTCAGCAGTGGACGATGACCTGATTACACTCCAAACAAACAATTATATAATTGAGCTGCCCTAAAGCCCCGTTGCATGCACCGTGTTCGTAGGCAATTATACGGTGCTCTGGCCCACCAGTTGGCTGGTCACCTCCGGACAACCAGGAGCAACAAGGACCTTGTAAATCTTGAAAGTAGACCCTGCCACGACACAACCGCTGCAAACAAATCAATCAAGCCCTGGACGATGGTTTTCCTACGCAGCCAATGGGTCTTCTTCACCAGGGTTCATCACCCTGGCCACACCCATCCAACGGTTTGCGTACCACGGGGCGTCGTTCCCACTCCTCGGTGGACCACTTCAAAGGTCGCCAGGATTCGCTAAACCCCACTGCCCGGTCGCGGGCGTAGCTGTAGCGCACCTGGGCTCCGTTCTGAACATCTTCTCAGCTGTGGTGCACCAGTCCGCTGATGACTGATGGGACAAGTACCGCCAAATCCTCGAAACTTCATGGATAGTATCCTATGGTCCTATAGCACTGATGGTGATACTGATGGTGATATAGATTAAAGAGCATCATATCTATCCACCAATGATTTGTTGAGCTTGGCGTACCACAGCACATCCAAGTGTTGCGGGATGCAGTGTCCAGTAGATTCAGTATTTATATAAATTAAGCTCCATCTTTCCACTCAGCTCCCAGCCTTCAAACAGAATACGTTAGTTATATATAAGATTATTAAGTATCGTTCCAAAATACAAAATCTGGAGTGTCAGAGTCAAAGCCGCTATCCAAAATGGATATTGTACATCTATATACATCTACAGCATGGATTGCAGGAAGCACACTGCCGTTCAACAATGAGGACTCAAAAAAAAAAGTACATGGTACATGATTGTACATGGTTCAGGTAAGTCTTCAACACCTGAGATCTTCGTCTCAGAATGTTGGTCTCAACACCTAAGGCCCCCAGAATCGGTCCCTCAACACCAAACAGGCACTCGGTACCACTTGGTACCGAACTCCCACTCCGTTGAGCCACGTACCCCGCCCGCGTACCCAGCGGCACAAGGCACATCCGTGGCCGTCGGGTCCCAAGAGCGGGCGATCTCACCACTAATCGAGTCCACCTGGGACGCGAACAGAACGACGAACGTCCACCGTGGCAAAAATGGGCAAAGACCGAGCCATCCTGTGGATTCCATACCCAGACGCTCCATGTATGGTATATTTGCTACATTGGGGTGGTTTGAGGGATCAATGTAGGCATATATGGCATACATGGAGCGTCTGGGATATGATTAATATTGATTAATCGCTGAATCTTCCAAATCCAAATCACTGAACCTGATGTGTTGACATAGAGCAGCATGGTGAACCCCATGGGAAAGTCCGTTCTCACACATTGCCAGAGACTGTGCTTTGCTGACCTACATGCCGCTTACATTCGCAAGCATGAATTGCAACCAAAGGCTACCAATTCTGGTTGCCACCAGCTCTGGCAAGCCCGTCATGCATGCCCTGTTTCAATTGAACGGTTCAGTCCCATCCCAACAAATTTGACAGTCATTCGAACGGGCCTTCTCGAAAACCATGTTCCTTTACACCAACATCGCTTGACGATACGTCTGGTAAAACACGAGAAATTACAACGATATATGAAAGATAAGACCGAGATGAAGGTCGCCAACGGTCCAAAACCACAAGGGTCAAACACAATGCAACCTTTATGGATCTAGTTCAAGAACGAAACAGGCTCCAGTGAGAAGGTGGCCATGGAACAACTTGCAGAATTCCCAGGACCCTTTCAAATTCGCGAGTCCGGCCCCCCCTGAGATGTTTCTGCCGATCCACAATCAGATTTATGTGTTGCCTTGTCATACTTGTCATTCCTAGTGACTCCTTCCACCAACACTTCCCCCTCCCCCTCAAGCGCTGCTTGCGCCCCCCATGGCCGACTTCGACTTGAACCTCTATGGTGGGGAGACCCATATTTGGAAGCATTGAGGGGTCTCCTGAGATCTCCAAAGTATGGACATAAGCATGCATGTGCTATATGCAACATTTATACCGATGGCGTAGCAGTGACTTTCGGCCAAATTACATCACAATTATTGTTTGGAGAAGCCGCTCGTAAGAAGTATTCATCAAACTTTGCGAATCTGTGAGTCAAAGAGAACAGATTAGATCCAATTAACAACAAATAAGTAACATCTCTGTCATTTTCCATCAAGATGTTCTACACAGATCCCAACCTCCACCTGCGTCCTGAAAGAGTCTGAAAACCAAGAAACCGACGTCCAGCTGAGAGACCCCCCGCCGGTGTCGCTTGGATCGCTCATATGCGGTGAATTGATGTCCATTGACCAGCATATGTTTGAAACTTCCGGTAAGTCAATTGGACACCCGAAATCTTGAACAGGATCTAGCGATGGCCGCATGTAATCGGCAAAATGTGCTTCAAGAATGTCGGAATCCAAGAGGCTACGTCACCAAAAAAGACAACAAAAAACTAAATGGTGCCACATGGTGCCAAAGAATTGGAACTATGGAAAGTATTTGCATTGTAAAGAAATCATGTATAATTCTGCCATATGAAGTCTTCCACTGTCTGGTTGACTGATTTATCTTGCTTGTGCAGTTTCTGGAAATAGAGCAAATCATTTTGCCACTTTGTTTAGAGACCAGATCAGCATCCATCGTGTTAGTTGCCAATGGGTAAGATCTGACCCCACCGGATCTGCCTTAATCCGATCTTCATATTCCAGGAGTTGCTTCAGGGTGGACCATCTTCCCTTAACAAAGTGTCTTTCTCCAAACACCACCGTCACCGGTGTTCACCAGAAAACACGGACCGAAAACTCACACAGACGTCACGGACCCTGCGAAAGGGAACGGCCCAAGGCACTGAATCCTGGGACTCCGGCTCTGAGAGCACTTCAGGGTCTTGCTGAATCATCTCCATGCCTCCACCGGTCCTCGATTTGGACATGGACAACAAGAACAAGAAGAACAACATGAGTGTGAAAAAGCGAGCATGAAACCATCAACGGCACAGTGAAGAACATGCTTGCCAGTACAAAGCAAATTTGACAGGACAATTGAACTCATTGGCATATGGAAGATGCAACTTACCTCCAACAATCATTGACGTGGAAACTTGTCCCTCGGAAGCCTATGTTCCTCTACAAATGGGGGGTTGTCCACTTCCATGTTTGTTGGAGGAGGCATCTTCATTAATGTTACCATGATTGCCTCTTTTTGTCTGCCATTAGAACAGCCGAAGACACGGTTCCAAATTGAACTCAAGGTCTTCTGCACTACTCTAAATCTCTGTTTCAAGGTACTTCCAGGCCAGGTGAGGTTGGTTGAGGTCGGATTAAAACATGCAACGATTCACACATATTTGCGTCAACATACATCACTACCAGATTTTACAAGATTATAAGTCTTGCTTCTTCATTCTCCATGAAAAACTCCGCTGGCCACCAAGCATCTGAAGCACGCGAATGCCTTGCGGGTCCGGCGCATCCTGAGGATGCGCCACAGCCTCGCGCCGGTGGATGGGCGACGAGAAGACATCGTCCGTCACCTCGGTGCGATCGATCGGGGTGGCACCTGGACATGGGATCCGCTCCTCGATCCGAAATGGACCAATCTGAGGTCTGGGACCATCGATCGACCGGCCCCTGAAGGCGAAGACTGGCAGTGAGCCGGGCTCGGTGTGAATGCCGAACACTGGCAGGTCGGGGATGAAGGTTCTCATTTCCTATGGGGGAGTCTCATTGAATGGCATCATTCTTTCCAAACGCATGTGCCATTTTGTAGCTCAAACCTTGCACTATCCTTCCACAAGTGGTGCGCCCACTCAGCTTGGAGTCACTATCACTATAAGTTCAAGCATCTCAAAGATGATTGCAGAAGAACATGGGGTCGTCTGATGTTGGCTGTCAACTTGGTTTGCCCTCGATCATTCATCACTTACTCACCAAAACAATAATTCTTGCATTTTGTTTGACAAGTGGGTTCTCAGAAACGTCCCTTACAATCCTTACATTGAGAAACAAGCTCAATGCCATTGCCTTTCGAATCGAGGAGAATGAACGCAGGCTTCGAAAGGCTCACGGATGCTCATGGTCCAAGTCACACCATCCACAGCTGAGACTCCTTGAACTCGACCCTTGGGCTCTCGCAGAACCACTTTGGGCTTTGGGGCAGCTGCCTGGCCCACAGGGTGACACAAAGGGAGAAGTCCTCCTCCTCACTGCTGGACTTGTTGATGGAAGAGTTTTCAACAGAAAGGACACCCCTATCATGCGGGCTGGTTGGACCATCTGGCCACTACCACGTATCTTTTCCACTCCTTTTCCATCCTCTTCCCCCTTCTGCAGCATCCGCCCCGCCTTCGGCGACTTGGGTTTGACCGCTTTGGCTTTCTTCGGCGCCGGCGCCTTGGGCTTCTCTGTCGCCTTGGGCGGCGCCGCTGCCGGTGTCACAGGCGCCACCTTCGCAGCGGGCGCGGTGCCGGGCGCGGCCAGCGCTGCGGGCGCTGTGCTGGTGGGCGGTGCCGCAGCGGTGGCTGACACTTCCTCCTCGGGGAGCTCTCCAGCTTCAGGGAAGCTGTCGGAGGAGTCGTAGCCTGGGGTGGAAGATGAGAGGGAAAGAGGGAGCAGTGCATGGTGTGGGTTTGCATGGTTTCAGACTTGCTTGGGAGTGAGGCAAACAAAGCGTGGCTAATAGGTCAGCAAGTTCTCAAAAACTGCAGCATGTTGCGTTGGCTCTTCTCATGTCTTTTCATATGCTTTTTGGCATCGGGCATATCTCAATTATGTAATTAAGAGTTTTGTTCGAAGTGTTTGGATGTTAAATGGCCAGTGTTTATCACCAAAAGCAGATTTCCAGGTACGTTCACATGATTGCATGTTTTTTGCATTGTTCTACAGCTGTTACTCTCAAATCTCAGTGCCACACGGAATTGTCTTCGGACAAGCTCTCTCCAAGACCGCAGCCCGACAGCGACAAAGACTCTCTTGAACCAGATTGGGCTATAGGTTCGGTTCAACCCTTCTTTTGAAGGACGGGAGCTACCGAACATGAAGAATTTTTTTCCAACTATATAAGTATCACATACCCTAGGGCTCCAGTCGTACCTTCTCAGAAGGTATGACTGGACCCTCCTGGCACCCACCCCAGTCCCACCTTCTGCGAAGGTATGACTGGAGCCCTAGGGATAGTTATAGCACTTGCCACGCACAGCTCATCTCCAAGACGTGGATGGGCCCAGTGACCAGCATCGTCTTCATCGTACCAATCGGGGTCTGCAGCTTTGAGCTGTGTGGACCAAGGCACCTTGGTCGGCTCGGGCTCGGCCGACCCCGTGGTGCTGAACCGACTGCAGCACCCTCAGGACCATGGGAATGGGACATGCCCACTGACATGCCCCATGTTTGCATGTCATTGTGTTGAAACCCATAAGTGTTGCTGGCTGTTTAAAAGGCTGCAGCATAGAACTGGAACATCAACCAAGATCGACCAATCCAGCCATCAAAACAACATAACGAAGTGTAACACAAGAGACTGGAGCAGTCATGGAAAACATCCCACCCTTTCAATCTAATTGTTGGAAACCGAACCTGGCCCCCCCCCTCTGATTTCTTGGAAAATAATATAGCTCAACCATGCTCAACTTTTCTTCCTCCCGTTGGATTTGAGTCGGGAAACCCATTAATTTTCCTGGCTTTTGCAGCTTACCCGCACTTCATGTCTCTGCCTATCTCGGGACCGTCTCGCCACTTGCACCTGGCTGGACAAGGGTGGCGGCTGTGGTTCCGGCAGTGGGGGCGGCTTCACCTTCTTCGGCGTCGGGATGGCCTCGGGGCGAAAACGCGGCGGTGATGGGACGCAGGACTTCGGGTCATGGGGAGGGGTCGGTGGGGATGGGTAGAGGGTTGAGGAGTTAGGTGGGACGGAGGTTGGATGATGATGATGATGATGATGATGATGCAGCGCCTCCAGTGCATGTGACTCGACTTCCGGACGACGTGCTCAGGAACTGCTGTGTTTTGTGGCTGAAGCTTACGGACCATGGCGGAGCTCAGATCTGTGATGTGATTGACTCAGGCTCCTTGGCAATTTTGACTAAGGAACAACAAATGCTGAACGTAAAGCAAGCGTTCAGTCAGGACCATGCACTTTTCGATGCTTGGCTGGCCGCTCTCGATCGTCTCGACGTTCGATTGCTGCGTGACTCCTTGGAAGCATGCGGCCTCCTGACGCGGCGCTGTGTGCTGTGCAACATGCAGCCGCCTGACCTCAAGTCTCACTTGAGGCTCCACCATGCTGCGCTGTGGGATGAAGCTGAGCAGCCGTGTGAGGAACTTACGTTCCAATTCATGACGCAGGCCAGACCAGGTCGTTTGTGCGCCTGCCAACCTTTCTATAGTGGGATGGAGAGCATGGACGAACATATCTGTCCTTGTTTTCGCAATTTTGGAATGCTCCACCGATTCTTGAAGCGCATGCAGCAGGATGTGGCCATAGAAACGACGGCCGCACTAGCTTTGCAGATCGCTCAGTCCTTTTCATGACCATACGTGGTACGAAGTGCCTGACCTGACAAATGTTCAAGAGGGTCAACGCTACCTCCCGAAGCAGAGGGCGTCGCGAAAGAATGATGATGATGATGATGATGATGATGATGATCAGTGTGTTGGCAATCCCGGGCGACTTCCCTCTGAAGACATGAAGCCTTGAAGCCTTGAAACCCTGCTGACGACCTGAAGCCTAGTGACGACCTGAAGCCTTGAAGACCTGAAGCCTGGCGACGACCTGAAGCCTTGAAGACCTGAAGCCTGGCGACGACCTGAAGCCTTGAAGACCTGAAGCCTGGCGACGACCTGAAGCCTTGATGGCGACGACCTGAAGCCTTGAACACTTGAAGCCTGGCGACGACCTGAAGCCGCAGCCTTGAAGACCTGAAACCTAGTGACGACCTGAAGCCTTGAAGACCTGAAGCCTAGTGACGACCTAAAGCCTAAGCCTTGAAGACCTGAAGCCTGGTGACGACCTGAAGCCTTGAAGACATGAAGCCTGGCGACGACATGAACCCTTGAAGACCTGAAGCCTAGTGACGACCTGAAGCCTGGTGACGACCTAAAGGCTTGAAGACCTGAAGCCTGGTGACGACCTGAAGCCTTGAAGACCTGAAGCCTAGCGACGACCTGAAGCCTTGAAGACCTGAAGCCTAGTGACGACCTGAACCCTTGAAGACCTGAAGCCTAGTGACCACCTGAAGCCTTGAAGACGTGAAGCGTGGTGACGACTTGAAGCCTTGAAGACCTGAAGCCTATAAGTGACGACCTGAAGCCTTGAAGACCTGAAGCCTCTTCGTGTCTCCGCGTGTCTTCGTGTCTTCGCAAGTCTTCGTGTCTTCGCGCAAAAGTCACAACCCGCTTCTGCCAACGCAATGATGATGATGATGATGATGATGATGATGATGATGATGATGATGATGATGATGATGATGATGATGATGATGATGATGA